TTTTTTATATTTTAATTAAATATATAAATTTTGAAAATTTTATGCAATTCTTATTTTTTTATCTTTTTTTGTTTTTTTATAATTTCTCAGTTGAAATATATATATTTATTTTGAATTTTTATCAATTTTTGTATTTTATTCATTTTCTATTTTTTTGAAATATATATTTTAAAATTTTCGTGTTTTCTGCAATTTTCTCATTTTTTCTGTAATTTTTTAATATTTATAGATTTATTTGGTATAATATTTATATTTTCTTAATATTTACATTGCATTAATGGGTCATATGAGTGGATCAGGGCCAAAGTGGGTTGTGATCCATTAATACCCAATAAATATGGGTGGCAATGGGTCAATGGGTCAACATGGGTGGGTTGGTACTCAACCCACACTCAACCTAACCCAACCCTACCCACCCCTTTGCCACCCCTAACTAAAGGTGATCCAATTTCCATATGCATATAATTAGATCAAATATGGATCCACCCCTATCTAATTTGATCCCACTTAAACATATATAAAGTTTATATTGTATTTGTTAGTGGGGCTGGACCGAATGTTGTGTTTTTTCTAAATTTTCATAGGTTCAAGTTTATACAAGTAATTTTCAATTCATTTTGTTTATGAAATATAATATCAAAGTTATTTTTTAGTTCATTTTATTAATAATACATAGTATTTTGAACATTTTTAGTTTAATTTATTTGTACTATTGAATATCTGATTACAATAAAAGATTCAAATTTGAATTTATGTATATTTGATTTAATTTGATCCGTTTATATCATGGACACAGAAAAGAAGCTTACCTATGCTAATATAACAAGTTGTCCTGTTTGGTGGAGGGAATATTTTGCTTTCAATGGGCCACCTTGTCTCAACCTCTACAAACAGCTTATAAATCCTGTAAAGTAGTAATTTTAAATCGATTAAATGGAATTAATTCTAGAAAAATTAATGATAATTAAATAGAATTTATGGAGGGAATAATTTCTATTAATGGATGGAATTAATTATTTAATATAATGGTAAATGGAATTACTTGGAAATTGGAATTAATATGGTAAATGGAAAGTTGAATGTTAGTTACAGACTTGATTGAAGAAGTTAAGTCTTCTTTCTAGAAACAAGGTTCAAAGTGTCAAAAACTTCTTATTTTTCAAACAAAAGAAGAAGTTAATAACGTAAGAAGAATTAATTGATGGAGTTAGGCCATGTTTAAGAGTGTTTATGTTAAAAATAAGTGCTTATTYGAATTAGTACTTATTTGCATTTGATACCCAATTTTTTAAGTGCTTATTTTTAAGCACTTATTTCATATTGGGTGTTTGGTAGTCTTTTTCTCTAATAAGTATTTAAATAAGTATTTGTGACTATTTTGTTTTTCATTTTCTTTCAAATTTTCTGAAAGTATTTTTATGAAAGTAATTTTCTGAAAGTAATTTTATAAAAGTACTTTTATGAACGTACTTTTGCGAAAGTACTTTTGTAAAAGCATTTTTTTTAAAACTTTTATGAAAGCACTTTTATAAAAGTATATTTACTTTTATAAAAGTACTTTTACGAAACACTTTTACAAAAGTACTTTTATGAAATTACTTTAATAAAAACACTTTTATGAAAGTACCTTTATAAAGTATTTTTATAAAATTCAACTAGGGATAATTTTATAAGTGATATTTTAAAATTCAACTAGGAATAATTTTATAAGTGGTATTTTATAATTCAACTAGGGATAATTTTGAAAGAAAAAAATTCATCAAGTATTTATTATATAAACACTTAAAAAAAGCTAAAATTTTGGGTTTAAAAAATAAACACTTATTTCAGACGTATTTACTAAATACCAATAAATGCTTGATAATGTAATATCGACTCAAATAAACACTTATTCAATTAAATACTTCCAAACATGGCCTGGTAAATTATGGCTTCTAGACAGAAAAATTTTTGGGTCTAATGCGCCACCGTTTCATGGCCTGGTAAAATTTATGGATGTGTTTTGTTTCATTGCCTTTCGTGAGAAAACAGCCGACAGCGTCACATCGGAGCCACATCAACAATTCAACTTCAATAGTTGAATCTGATGTTTGGTTATGCAACATTTCAACTCAATTGAATCTGCTGTTTGGTTAGGTGGAAACAAACACTGTTGCTTCCGAGAAAACACTAGACCATTGCATTAACAGCAATGCATATGAATGGCAACGGGCGGGCGGGGACGGGGAGCCTTTCCTCATCCCCGTCCCCACGAAAATCTCCATCCTCGTTCCCATCTGCGGGGATAAGGTTATCTCCATTCCATCTCTGTGGGGATTCTCATTTCCCGTGATTCTTTATAATGTTAATTATTTTGTTCTTATTTTTATTTTATTTAAAATATAAAAATAAAATAATTAATATTTATAATCATATTAGAAAATATTCAAGCATATTCAACCATGTTTTTTAAAATATTAATATATAAATGTATGCTTACATATTTACATATATAACGCATGCATACATATATACATATATATTAGTGGGGATCCCACGAAGTGGAGATCGGGGTCCCCGTGGGCCGGGGGGTGCCCTCCCCATCCCCGCCCCGTTCCCACTAACGGGGATGAAAATTTCCCCATCTCCGTCTCCACGAGAAAAAAATCATCCCCATCCTTGCTCYATTCGGCGCGGATCTCCACAAAGATCGGGAAATTGAGGAAAATTACCTACCATAGGAGTGACTTAGTGAGTGGTATTTTAGTAATTATATATATTTAAAATAATAACAATCATAATGGAAAATACATTTAAAATAATGTTCGAAATCCAACTTTAGGCCGAGTGGTTTCTCTCAAAAATTAAAAATAAAATAGCCCAATAGTTAAAAATATTAAAAAGAAATTGAAACGTCAAGATCTGGCCCAGGATCCAGACTCTTCTCTTCCAACCAAACAAACAGGTAATCGTCATTTGATCAACTACACTGGGCTACCTGTCAATGATCGGGGCCGTTAAATCTGGAACCATATCATTAAGAGGAGATCGGCTTCCATCGGAACAAATCTGTGCCCATACTGTTCTAATAGGCCTTTCGCAACTTTCCATTGAGAATATCTCTTTATTAAATAAAACGTATAAATAAAGAGATATATTTAATACAAGACGGTAAAAATTGCTCGAACGGGATTTGCCCTTATTGAAGCCGAACCCTATAAATAGACAAGTCATGATAAAATTCCAAATAGATTTTATATAATTTTATTTTAGGGACATTTAGTTGGATACCCCATATAGTTTCATGGATTTTAATTAAATATATTTTATTTTATTAAAATACCACTGTAGTTTTGCAACYTATTTATTTAATTAACCTTTTGTTAAGAATATAATCACCTTGACCTTTTTGACCCATATCGGAAATGGTATGAGTATTGAATCGGTTGGTCTATTTAATAAACCAACATTACTTTAGATCAGTCAATTCGAAGAAATTAAAGCTTTTCAACCAAGGACCGTAGAACTCTTCCACACTCAATCATAGCCGAGCTTGATTTCGGAATTGGGGGAATAGTGTTTGGTTAATGGTTGAGTTAGCCAAAGATGCCACATGACAATCTTCGTGGTTGCCTCCTCTCCTAGGCCACATCGATGCCACACGTAACGGAAGAGCACGATTAAAGAGTATCCTACACGGACAAAGAAGTGGACTTTGTCGGGAAGAGGAAACCTTCCTAAAACCTCAACAGACACCCTCATCTCAACAACCTTGGAAGCCCAATCCATCTAGGACACGAACACTCAACTATAAATAGGTATTCCTCGCTCAAGGTAAGGGACTTTTTGGAAAAATACTCTTTGAATACCTCTTCACGTTATCTCTTCGGCTCAAACCAATGCTATTTCAACTTGCTTGTCTCAACCACATCTTGAGCGTCAGAGTACCTATCTAGAGAACAACTTCTTGGGCCTCTAACCTTTCTCCTAATTATAGATCTTAGTCTGTGGCTTCGTCCTTCCACCTCAGCTTCAGCCAGTTAGTAGGACTATTTGATTGTGTCCTCGATTTGAAATACCTCAGATCGGATAGCATCAATTTGTATTTGTATTCTTTTTTATTTCTACTTTGAGTCTAAATGAAAAACATTCAACGAAAAGAGATGATATTGTTCATTTTTTTTTATTTTCTTTTGATTAAGTTTATTCAAATAGATGTTTAGGTCAAAATTGTTATTTTCCACCACTGTTTTCAAAACCGGACCAAACTGGAAAAACCAGGAACCAGTTCTGTTTTCTTCCAAAACTGCTGCTTTTGGTCAGCAAACTGCTGAACCAGCCGGTTAACCGTTCGATCCGTTCAAATTGTTTGAACTATTCGAACGGTTTTGACTGTTTTCCAATTTATTTTGTTAGAATGGGCCGACCATTTGGGTCAAGCAATCGAACCGTTTGAACCGGTAACCGAACCCCTGGCCGGTTCGATCACTGGTTCGTTTTTAAAAACCATGTTTTCCACTTTTATCTGACTGAGCGTCGATTAAATAAATCATTGCAAACTATAGGGGGTTTTTAATAAAATACAAACTACAAAGTAGGTTTTTAGAAATGCATGAAGTATATGACTGTTTTAGTAAATGAAGTATATTGTATTTTAATTAGTTTATTAATTTTTGTTTTCCTATGGTTATTATTTTTTGTTAATTTTCCAAGAGAATTTGATTAAGAGTTTATCAGGTTCCATGAAACAAGACCTGACACGGATTCCCAGATAGAACGATTAGACAGCAGACAGTGGGACCCAGATTTTGCATTTTCGTACTTTTTAGTATTTTACGGTAAAAAAAGAATACAAATGAACCGGGAGAGGGAAAGTAAGTAATGGTGGGCACGGACACAAGGATTTGTTCTTGTTGATGGAGGATAAGAATAAGAACCCTAAAGGTACAAATTGGCGAATAGTACAGTGTTTGTTGTTCTCTTCTCAGTCTGCAACTCTGATTTTCCATTTGGGTACTAAACTTTTCTCCCGTTGATCCGATATTTTCTCCGCAAAACTTGTTTTCAGTATTGAAGAATATTTAAAGGCCAATTTGCCAAATTTTGTCAATAGCCGTCAGTACTTGGCTATGTTTGTTTTACTTTTTTTAGGATCTGGATTCTCTGCTTAGCGTCTGGGACAAGATTTTAGATGGGTTTTAGATTTAGTAGCCATAGGTAGTGATCACTTGATACTTCTCATTTGTGGTTCTCGGCGTTTCTACTTTCTAGTTTACGGTCGTCTATTTGAATTTCAATTCAGCATTTTTAATTATTATTTGTTTGATTGCAGAAGGGTTATCAAGATTCGATGAACAAGTAGTGCGGGTTCTCTGAGGGAGAGCCATGGAAGAAGATCAGAGGAAGCTGGTTTTGTCTGTTTTTCTGTGCTTTATTTCAGTGGTTTCTTGTGCCACTGATCCCAACGACCTCAAAATTCTCAATGACTTCAGAGACGGCTTGGACAACCCAGAACTACTAAAATGGCCTTCTAACGGAGATGATCCATGTGGCCCTTCTTTATGGCCGCATGTGTTCTGTTCTGGAAACAGGGTTTCGCAGATTCAGGTTCAAGGCTTGGGCTTGAAGGGGACTCTCCCTCAGAATTTCAACCAGCTCGAAATGCTTTCAAATTTGGGGCTTCAGAGGAACAGCTTCAGAGGGAAGCTACCGACGTTCAGTGGATTGTCTCAATTAGAGTATGCTTACTTGGGTAATAATGGATTTGACACGATTCCTTCCGACTTTGTCAATGGCCTTACTAGTTTGCGGGTCTTATCTTTGGATAACAATCCATTGAACGCGAGCACTGGATGGTCTATTCCTAGTGAGTTGCAGAGTTCAGCTCAGTTAACCAATCTGTCATTAATGGGGTGTAATTTGGTTGGTTCTGTGCCGGATTTCCTAGGTTCAATGCCGTCGCTGACAGTCCTAAAACTTTCATACAACAATCTCACCGGAGAAATTCCGGCGAGTTTTAACCAGTCGCAGTTGCAGATTCTGTGGATAAATAATCAGGTTGGTGACAAGATGACTGGCCCAATTGATGTAATTGTGAACATTCCCTCGCTGACACAGATATGGTTACATGGAAATAAATTCAGTGGGACAATTCCTGAGGGCATTGGACAATTGTCTTCTTTAACAGATCTCGACCTCAACAGTAACCAACTTGTGGGTCTAATTCCCAAGAGCATGGCAGGTATGCAACTTCAGAAATTAGATTTGAGTAATAACATGTTGATGGGTCCGATACCAGATTTCAAATTTGACAATTTCAGTTATGATGGAAATTCATTTTGTCAAAGTATTGGGCTTCCTTGTGCTCCCGAAGTTACAGCCCTTCTTGATTTTCTTGGTGGTGTGCAATTTCCATCAAACCTTGCTTCTGCTTGGAGGGGTAATGACCCATGTGTTGACCCATGGTTAGGACTTAGTTGCCAAAGTAACAAGGTTTCTGTTATTAATTTGCCTGGAAGAAACCTTGGTGGTATTCTGAGTTCTTCATTAGGGGAGCTAGATTCTCTGTCTGAAATCCGACTTGCAGAAAACCATCTAACAGGTCCAATCCCAACGAATTTGACTGGCTTGAAATCTTTGAAATTGTTGGATCTAAGTGGGAACAATATTGAACCTCCACTGCCAAAATTTAGTGAAAGTGTTAAGGTTGTTATAGATGGGAATCCTCTGTTTAATGGTAACCAGTCTGCTACACCTTCATCGTCACCAGGGACTTCGAATTCTCCATCCAGCTCTTCTCCAACCAAGGGCTCAGAGTCTAACTCAGGTGCTCCAAGTGAAGGTAACTCGAAATCAAAAGGTTCCAAAGGATTGAAGCTAGTTTTTATTGTAGCCCCGCTTGCATGTTTTGCCTTCTTGGTTGTTCTGCTTGTTCCTCTATCCATATGCTACTGCAAGAAGAGGAAACATGCCTTCCAAGCACCAAGTTCCTTTGTCGTGCACCCCAGAGACCCATCTGATCCAGAAAACATGGTTAAGATTGTAGTCTCTAATAACACCAATGGAAGATTATCTAATCTAACAGAGAGTAGTTCTCAGAGTTTATATAGTGGAATGGGAGAATCTCATGTGATTGAAACTGGGAATTTGATCATATCAGTTCAGGTTCTACGTAATGTGACCAGGAATTTTGCTCCAGAAAATGAGCTAGGACGTGGTGGTTTTGGGGTAGTTTATAAGGGGGAACTGGATGATGGGACAAAAATAGCAGTCAAGAGAATGGAGGCTGGTGTGATTAGCAACAAGGCTTTGGATGAATTTCAAGCTGAAATTGGAGTTCTTTCAAAAGTCAGACACCGACATTTGGTATCTCTGTTAGGATATTCCATAGAAGGTATTGAGAGGCTTCTAGTTTATGAGTATATGCCTCAGGGAGCTTTAAGCAAGCATCTTTTCCATTGGAAGAGTCTGAATTTGGAGCCTCTATCTTGGAAAAGGAGGCTCAACATTGCCTTGGATGTTGCTAGGGGAATGGAGTATCTGCATACTCTCGCTCACCAGAGCTTTATACATAGGGATCTTAAATCTTCAAACATACTCCTTGGTGATGATTTTCGAGCAAAGGTTTCGGATTTCGGTTTGGTAAAACTTGCTCCTGATGGTGAGAAATCCGTAGTGACCAGGCTTGCTGGGACTTTTGGGTATTTGGCACCAGAATATGCTGGTAAGTAATCTCTTTTATAACTACTATCCATCTATTAATTTCCATTTCTGGTACACTTAGAAGTGAGCTTGCTTAATATTTGAAGGATTATGAGATGCTGGATCATAAAAATTTTGAACAACTTCCACAATTTGCACTGTTATCCAATTATCTTAAACAAACTGCTTCAGTTTTGATGAATTAGTCCTTATACTATTCAGATGAATAAGAAGATATATCATGGTACTTTGTCTTGTATTAAAGGTATAATAGGATATGTTATATTACTTAATGTTGTATTATGATAGGATGTAACACAACAGAGCCTGATTAAAAACTTGGAAAATTTGATGTATTTATTTTTATTTTTTAGGGGTAGCTTATGACCACATATAAATTTTGTGTTGTGCTGATTTCTGGGCTGAAGAGATTCCCAAGTTAATATTAGTGAGATACATATTGCAGTATCATCACAGTTTGTGGTGTATCTAATTGGCTACTAATTTTTATTTCCATGGGTCAAATATGTTCAGTCACAGGGAAAATTACAACCAAAGCTGATGTCTTCAGCTTCGGAGTTGTGTTGATGGAGCTTTTGACTGGACTGATGGCACTTGATGAAGAGCGACCTGAGGAGAGCCGATATTTGGTTGCATGGTTCTGGCACATCAAGTCAAGTAAGGAGAAGCTAATGGCTGCAATTGATCCAGCTCTTGGTGTTAATGAAGAGACCTTTGACAGCATATCCATCATAGCTGAACTGGCTGGGCATTGCACGGCAAGGGAGCCCAGCCAACGGCCTGATATGGGCCATGCAGTGAATGTACTAGCACCACTGGTTGAAAAGTGGAAGCCATATTATGATGAAACTGAGGAATACTCAGGCATCGATTACAGTCTGCCCCTCACTCAGATGGTGAAGGGCTGGCAGGAAGCTGAAGGTAAGGATTACAGCTGCACCAGCCTTGATGACAGCAAGGGAAGCATCCCGGCAAGGCCCATTGGATTTGCTGAATCGTTCACTTCTGCTGATGGTCGCTAAATCATCGTTTGGAATGTCATTCAGTAATTTATGATTTGCCAATCTTTTTGCATTTTATTTATTAAAATCTTCATCTAGTCAATCTAGTCGGTCCAGGTTTAGTGGGTTTGTTTATAATATGAAGGATACAACTATAGATTCTCATTTTTAGGATTTCAAATGTATTTTCATCTTTTCCCTTCCCTTGTTCTTTTGTTTTCTTTTTGAAAGTGAGATTTGTGTGGAGGTGATGCTGTTGATAGAAGAAAAGCATAAAAAGAGAGCTTTATTCAGTTCTCCCTTGATTTATATTCATTTGTTCCTTGTTTTCACTGGTGTGCTCGCTGAAAGATTTGTGTCAGTTTTGTATCGATGTTAAAAATCCTTTTGAACTGATACTCCATTCCTTGCATTCTGTTCTCCAATTCATTGTTCTAAGTGGGAACCTTTTTGGATGGGGCTTAGCTCCAGCAACCAGATTGACTGCACCACTTGTACCCATTACTTTTATCTTATTCTTTTAGTTTGAACTAGAAAGATCTATGCTTAGTCATAAACTCTGCCATCCCTGGGAGCCATAGATGGATTGCACTAGGTTTATTCTATCCAACACAGAGCAATACTTGCAACCAGACACCATTAGTCTTTAGGCTGCATTTGGCATTCCTTATTTTAAGGTTTTCAATCTCCTTTTTGCTGTTAAAAAGTCAGTGTTCATAGGGGAATTTTAACAGAAAAAGGAGATAAATTCTTAAAATAAGGAATGGCAAATGCAGCCTTAACCCCTTTCAAATTATTATGCAATGGTGGAGACCCTCACTGCCTAATCTGAATCTTAACTACTCTCAGCTGTGTGCTGTAGAGATAAAACTCCATTAAAGTTTAACCATTCTAGAGTCGGTGAAGTTTAAATATACCAAAGAAATTTAAACCAACTCTATAGCACTTCAATACCTAGATAGTATATATGCTGAAAGAGACACCATGACAATTTAATACGACTTTTTAGTATTATATATGGGCTTTAGCTGTATTGCCAGCTATTTTTGATTGAAGAAAGCCAATTATGTATGTGTTTCAATTTTCAAAACAAAGTAGAAGTTTGGATTCTTTTCAACCTCACTGCCATAAGTGGCTTGTGTAGTGTACAAGTACGTGAAGCACTCAGCCTCATGTCCCTTGTCCTTTGTTTGATATATAAAAATCTAAAAGAAAAATAAATATTAAAAAACGAATTATTTTTGTTCCAATCTCAAAATCTTTGTCTCAGTTGTTGACAAGGTTTGAAATAAGAAAATAAATGAGTTTACGTGGCATGGTCCTAACAGTTACTTACCCATATGGAGCTAATAGCTGTCTGATGTGGACTTCTTGAATCTTACATCTTGTTTGTATTTATTTTTATATTATTGAGACCATTTCTTTTTATTTTCTCTGCAGGACCAGTTTTTTTTAAACATTCTCTCTCTAAAAGAATGAACTATATCTGTACATTGAACAATAGATTGGTCGACAATGGTCTTCATTGTCAGCGGGTCGGGTTTGGTATGTATTCACCTCAACAGCTCAACTCGAACCCGACCCGCTAAGTAAACAGGAGATACCAAATCCGATATGCCCCATATCCCATATACAGTACACCAGCACTCAACCAAGTTTACATTCATTTGTAACGTTTTAAAAAATGATTTAGAAATGGAATCGTTCTGATCACCGGCTTTTAGGTCGATTGTCCAATCGTCTGGTTCTTACCAACAAATTAATAAAAATAAAAAATAATTAAAAATGGTCAAAAACCGTTGAATGAATCGATGATTCGACCGTCTGAATCAACATGTTGTTGACTTTTCCAACAGTCTTTGACCACAAACCGGATTTGGATAAAATGAAATCGGTTGCTTATATGATTCTYGGGCCAAACGGTCCAACCATCCAGGTCAACCACGATTCRAAAACCTTGTCTACAAATGTTTCAATACTTCAATATCAATGGGGCGGGTTCAATACAGACCCACTTCAAACTGAACACAGCCCACTCACATTTAGCAATTAGCATTTTCTTTTATTTCAGAGCCAATGAATGACAGATAACAGTGAGTTTAGCATAGAGAGCGTTTTCATCAAATGAAGACCATTAGGGTGGAATAGGCTGATACACCTTTTATTAAGCTTCCTATTGAAGTGRAAAAAGTCTCTTCAGCTTAAAAAACTTTTGATTTCAAGAAAGCTAAAAAAATAAAAGGGTTTAGTAATGTCACATGGCAAATATTGCTGATGTGGCAAATACGTTAACCACTTTTGGGTTGACTGTCAAAGCTTAGCTCGCCCGTCAAAGATTAACACGCCACAAAGATCATTTTGCCCGAAAAGAAAATTATTTTTGCTGGATGCCTAGCTGATCGGTCGTATTTTTTATAATAAAAGGGAAAATTCCCGATCATACTTACTTTAATTGGTTGGAATAACAATTTGGTCCCCGAAATTTTAAAATGCGGACATAAATGTCTTTCATCTAATTTTTATTATCAGTTATAAAATCGGAACCAACCATCCAATTTTTCATTCTCCAAAGCCGAACGTGTGAACCGGGATCTCGAGGTGGGCAAATTACGTCGACGACATGTTCAAGGAGGTCGGGCACCGTCAATTGGCTGAGTTATTCGAAATTCGTTTGTCCTGGCTGTCCAATACCAGCATTATGCTTGCCACGGGGTTCCTCTCCCGGTGTTCTTCAAGGACCTTGTGGCCTTCCTCAAGGCGTCGCTGTCACTGGTGCCCGCAGACTAGCCGATCAATGATGCACCACGCGGAGCGCTGCCCGCTAGCCGTCATTCTCCTCAGCGGCATAAGCCTCTTGAGATGCCGAGAAAGTCAGAATGTTCAGCCGATCGGAGGAGGCCAGTGACGATATAACTAGGCGCATGGCGTGTTTCAACATCTGCAACTTGGCACCGGTCATGCTTCCACTAACGTTGAGCACTATGACCAAATCGATTGGCGCACGACGCCTAGGGTCCAGCAGCGGCGGCATCGTATTGCTAATGCACACCGAGGATGGAGGAGCCTTCATCTTTAGTGCCACCACGTAAGTCTCGTGGCTTCGGTCGATAGAGACCACGACAGCCTCTGGCAGCATTCGAACCTCGACAGAGTCGGATTCGCGAAGAATCCCTAAAACTCACCGACCTCATCATCCACCTCATTTTCTTCTTCGTCCTCGTTCTCGTCTGCTTCCGGTATCGGAACGAACCTCGCACCGGCCGTTGGAGAGAGCAGTGGCTTGTCATCGTCTAAACTCTTGAATCAGACGATTTGGATTGCTGATTGTACTTGGTTTGCACGTCACGAGGAGTGGTGGATTGTTGCCTCTTCTCCTGCAGCTTATTCACTGCACCGGTCTTGTTTATTATCTTCCTGTGGACGGCCAACAAAGTAGTTACTTCTCTCCAGTTGGCATTGCAGAACGAGACTGTCGTGTTTTTTTGACGTGGGAAAGCACGGGAAGTGGAAAGCGTGAGAACACTCCGCCGTAAAAAATAAAAATTAAAAAAGAGTTTTCTTGTATTCATTCTGTAGCCATAGAAGGCAAAAGTGTAAATTGGGTTTGGTAAGAGTGAAGATGGATGAAAAATAGGGAGATAAGAAAAGATGAACAATGTGTTTTATTTTCAAGAGTAATTTTGACATTTTTAATTGATTAGATTGTTGTATTTTGAACGTTTGAGTAGTAGATTATTTTGTCACTCAAGCCAAAGTATAGAATATTATTTTTTTTTCAAATTTATTACATAAAAGGGGTTTTGAGTTTAACGAAGGATTCCCCACATGTGGGGCCACTTCTCTGTGGTCAAATTGGAGATTAGTTGGAACCCGTCATCCATATAGCCATACCCTATGTATGGGTTGATGATGTTGACTAGGCCAAATTTTGGAAGAAGTACAAATATAAATATATAGAGTGTAAAAGTTAAATTTTGTATGTATTTATATTGTATATATTTGTATTTATCCTCTTTCTAAACTGAGACTTAAGAATTAGGGGTGTAAGTGGTTTGGAGCTTGAACAAATAAAGGTCATAAAAATATTTATGGGCACCAAAATTTCCCTGTAATGTAATTCTGTTGCAAAAAGGAAAAAATGAGCTCTCACATGGATAAGGAATCTTAGCTTGGCATCTTATCACGTGGATAAGTATCTAAAAGATGATGGTAATGTTTCTGGTGTCACCCTTTATCTACATGGGGATGTTTCTGGATAATGGTTTGTTGTCATCTGGCCAAAAGCAGTCTTTTTTTTTATTGCTTATTTATTTATTTTGTTGTTTTGCCCAATTTGGACAACTAGAGAAAAGAAAAATGTATCCTTCAAATTATGCAATGAAACTTTGAATCTATAGAGAAGGAATTTAAAGGGAATTTTAGAAACTAATATGATTATGTATTAATGAATTATAGAATTTTCATTTGGTAAAGAAAAATATGATAGACTAATTCACAAAAAAAAAGAAAATAAATTAATTAATCGTATAGATCAGAATGATAATATTGAATAAAAATGTTTATAAGCAAAGAGCAATGGTATTGGTCTCGGTAGATCTAAAAGTGCCATCATAGTGTTTTTTAATAAGCTTATATGAATCAGGCAAATAATGAAATAAAGAATATATAAAACTATCATCCTTAAAACCGATTTCACCCTCTTTGGGTTTGTGGGTCCCATTTTGGGATGGCTAATGAAGCTTTGAGTGAGATGCTTTGATTGAGCTGATTTAGAGAAGCCACTAAAATCAGCGAAAAGCCGTAATATAGCTAATTTTCGACTCTCCCAGATTTTCACCATGATTATAGGTTGTTTATGTGTAGGGCCCATCTTATGTGAAAGCTCTCCAAACGGGTACACAATTAATATAACGAATTCCATATTTCCATCAAACACTTTTGACTGACATTAAAGTACACCTCCTCCAGCTATACCGGCCTTGAATTCAAGGATGATGATCTACTCTTGATTTTCAGAGAAAAGACAAAACCAAGAGTTAGTACTTAGTCCACATAAATGTGAACAAAATATCATTATCAGTGCTGAACGCACCGCGTGAACTAACGTGTACGCAGGGAAAAGTTCTTTCTTGTAGCAAATTGCAAAGATTAAAATTGCCTAACGAACTGGAATCAAATTAAAATTACTGTTGACAGCCCGTGGATTAATGGAATGTGCGGTCTGAAGCACAGTTTACACAGGCTTGGATAGGACGAAAAACCAGAATGTTGGGCCACGGTTTTTACTGGKTTATGGTTTAACCTGTGTTTAGGCCCCCATTTTGTTCGCGGG